TGAATTTTCTGTTTCTCTTTGAAAATCGGGGAATTTTCTGAAAAAGCGAAATACTTATTAAAAAAAAAGTGAAATTTTTAGAAAATCTGAATTTTTGATAAAAAAAGCTGAAATTTAAGAGATAAAAGTAAAAAAAGCGGAAATCAACTAAAAAGCAGAAAAAACTCATCCCTGTAAAGAGCTATTCTATTGAAATATATATGTAGTCTAGCCTAAAAAAAATGAACCTATGGTGAAAAAAATGTGCATGGAGACTGGAGAGCCTTGCTGGCTAGATTTGACTGTAAGGTCATTGATTAGACAGTGCCTTTGATTCGCTTTCTATGCAAAAAAAATTATTTCCTCAAATATTTTTTAAGATTAAAATACAAATAAGAAGTAATCCTGTGTTAAAAATAAGTTTCAAATGTGTAATGTATGTGAGTACATATAAAATTTTGTATTGTGATGCCAGAAGAAACTTTTTTCAGACTTTTGCACCAATTTATTTGTCTTAATTATTAATTACACTTTAATTACCTATACGTTAAGTCAATTCATAAAATTAAACTTTATTAATATTAGCTTTTTTAAAATAAGGTACTTATCACTGCCCTCTCTTCTGAAAAAAAAACCCCAATAAGATATGAAAAACCCAGAAAAGCCCAATAAAACCCACCCTGGTTAGGTTTTTCTGGAAAAATCTGGGTTTTTTGCAACCCTGAAATCATGAATATAAGCTTTAAAGTATCTCTCTGGCTCTCCCTTACAAGCAAATAAAATAAACTTTGTAAGTTCCACCTCTGAAAATTTGATTTCCGGAAACTTTTGTGATCAATGATTTTTCGAAACGTCTGGACCTTCGATTTCCGGAAACTTTCGGATCACTTGTGGCAAAAATTCCGGAAATCCGGATTTTTTCCGGAGCACAATCAGCCCTGCATAAAAATTATAACTAAAACAATCAAATTCATTACTTTTAAATAACTATCAGTGTTTTCATTACAGAAAAAAAATGGGAGAGAATTTCTCACCCTTTCTCAAAAACAAGGTGAGATTTCAAGAAGTTAAGTAAGATTTCTAAAAATTAAAAAAACACGAATAAACTTGGAAAAAAAAAATTTCTTTAACTATAATACATTTATAACATCTTCTAATTGAATATTTTTTCTGCATCATCATATGGAAAATGTTCTATATCTACTTTTTCATCAGCTTTTATATTTATTTGGCTGAAAAATATCCGCATTTGTTCTGTTTTGACTGTTTCTACCAACATTTGCTTCATTTTTATTTGTCCGTTACGAAGTAGAAGATGTCGCCTTAACAAGGTATTTGTCCATCTTACATTCATGCACAAAAAATATAAACATCTTACATGAAGAAACCTTACTTACGGTGAGCACGTGGTTGCAGAGAAATGTGTTCTGAAAGGGGTCCGTGTTTCGGGGGGGTGTTCTGCTGTTCCCACTGGTTCTGAACAATATTGGTAAATAGGGAAACTAGATAACAAGGACCGATGTTCAAAATAATGAAAGATCAAGGAAGAAAAGTGAAACAGATTTTATTCAAAATGGCAAAAGACGAAATATTTTCCAAAATTCGCTCATTTTGAAATTGATTAATAGAGAGCGCGAACTTCTCGCATTAATCATTTTTTATTGTGAGAAAAGAAAAAAATATGCGAGATTCTCGCGTTCTTGCTCTGTAGTGAAAACACTGACTATACCAATCGCTTTACATGCTAGCTCTAACACAACAGTCACAACCAGTTCTTACTTCAAAAAAAAAAAAAAAACAGTCATAATAAAAGCATATACTATTTAAAATTCGAAATATTCTCGACTTAGAAAAGAAATCCTGATTAGAGAGAGGAAGAAAAAAAAACTACTTACCTTCATCTCGGAAACCAATTCCACTGTCACTATTACTGCTACTAGTGTTGCTTGACTGGGGAGACATATTTACATGAAACTCTAACCCATGTAGAATATCATTATTAATATCTAATTTGTTTCTATACAATCCAACTACAGCTTGAAGTATACTGTCAGCAGATTCAGGAAATTCTTTACATTTATTAATCATGGGATCTGAAGTGCATGTAATATGAAAAGCTTTGGCTTGTTTTATGTGTTGATGATGAGGAGCTAATTTTGGATCTACCATAAATACATGACAGGAACTACTTAATGTATTTAGTTCATCTTGAAAGTCATTATTAACACCATGGCTTGTAACAAGACCAAAGAATTTTTTATCATCACTATATACACCACTGAAAGTTATTTTATCAGCAGAAAATTCTGCTAGAGTAATACCTTGAGGATTTATTAGAATAATACAATTGGCAAAAACTGACATCAGGACCAACGTATGGACTTTTTTCTCAATTCGAAGTCTTCTTATACAATTGTGTATAGTTTGTCGTCTAGAATTAGGGAACTGAGGTTCTTTTGGCATTTCAATTGTACCTAAATAACCAACAACAGCGTTTAAAATAGCTTGTTCTTGTGTATCTTTCTGTTCATTTTGGGACGCATAGATTGCCGGATAAAGAATATTATTTAAATCTTGTTCAGTAAAAATAGAATGAAATACTTCACTGGTAGAGCTTGATGAAGTGTCAGGATCACTACGAGACTTTAATACTTTACTTTCTTTCTTTTTTAAACATTTCTGTTTAGATTTCTCAGATACTGATGCAACATTTAGAGGTTTAGAAATGAAGCTTTGAGGAGAGTGTCTATTAGCTTCTTGAAGCCTTTGTTGTAAGATCAAATCTAATAATACTTTATTTGATTTACTGGGTCCAGAGTGATTTGTAGCTTGGGATTTAGGCTTAGGAACAACGTTTAGATTTCCCTGAATATGATCTACAAATAGAGCTCCAGTTTGTAAATCTTGAACAACTTTTTCAGCTCGTGAAACACTATTATTCTGCCTATTGCGTATTCTATTTGGATATTTTGGTCTTGGCTTAACAATTGATACAAATTCTTCTTCGGACGAATCTGAATAATAATTTTCAGCAATCTGAAGCTTTAGTATATCACTAGAACTTCCAATCAATCTCACTACATCATCGTGGGGAGCTTTAGATACATTTTGGCCATTAACAGCTATTAAAAAATCACCAGGTCTTAACCCTGCTTTTTCAGCAGGACTTCCAGTAATAATACAGCTAAGTATACAAGGAGCTTGCCCTGATATAGTGAAACCAAATCCATTTTCCCCCCTTGATATTTCTACAGTTCTCACACCATAACTTGGCCTTTTTTTTCGACGTCTGTGTTGATGCATAGCTAGCTATTGCTGCATTACATGTATCAAATACTGAAAGAAACATCACAATTTATCAACTATCTAGATCATATTAGCATAATATTAATATATTATAAGGAAACATAGGTTTACAATGAAATGTTAAAAAGTAACTTTGCAAAGTCAGTAAAGAATAATGAAGCAGGATACGGCTATTAATTTCGTGGAATAATATAATATCTCTTGAAAATATTCAGTAAATTACGATACCCACTATTTCGAAGAAACCTCTAACTAATAAATATAATGAACTTCAGTGCTCAGCTGTAAGCATTTCAAAAGCAGCTAGACCACTTTGAGAATAATAAATGTGGTGTTGGTTGGTACCTATACCTATATGTAATAATTATCTGAGTACCAGCTGAAATTAACGGCTTCAGCTCATTCATCTGAGTGAGAATTACATAAAAAAATTTATGAATAAACGTATCTATGTGAGATGATGGGAAAACGATGGAAGAGTGAAAGTGTAAGAAACCAAAACAACAAATTCCACAAATTCCAGTTACTCTAGAGCGTGTAGCATTGCAACGTTCCTTCTTTATTCACGATCACAACGAACTACAGAGGGCGTTGCTGTATGAGACTCTGCGATTTCGATATGAACAGTCATTCATTTACTCTGAGCTCGTCTTTAAAGAAAAATTTTTGATATTCTTTCTTATGCAAACGAAAACAAAATGGTATCTCTTTTTTTTAGAGAAGGTACATCCAAAACACATCAGAAAAATATTTGTACACAAACAGTTGTTGTTGTTAATTTACGTCGTACTAGAGCTGCACAATGGGCTATTGGCGACGGTCTGGGAAACATCCCGGAGGATGATCAGAAGACATGCCATCCCGATTTTGATCCTCTGTGGAGGGGATGGCACCCCCGCTTCGATAGCCCGACGACCTACGCGCGAAGTCGAACACTTTAGCACAGTTTAACGAGGACCAAT